CTGTTTTGAGGCTCAAAATATAAAAAGGAAAAATGGCAGAAAAACAAGAAGAAACGTATCAACTACCATAGTAGGAGACATGAACATATCTCACTCAGTAGTAAAAAACAGATCAAGTGGCCGGGCCCGGTGGCTCACGCCTGTAATCCCAGCACTTTGAGAGGCCGAGGTGGGCGGATCACAAGGTTAGGAAATCGAGACCATCCTGGCTAACATGGTGAAACCCCATCTCTACTAAAAATACAAAAAATTAGGGGGACGAGGTGGCAGGCGCCTGTAGTCCCACCTGCTCAGGAGGCTGAGGCAGGAGAATGGCGTGAATCTGGGGGGTGGAGCTGCAGTGAGCCGAGATCATGCCATTGCGCTCCAGGCTGGGCGACAGAGCAAGACTCCGTCTCAAAAAAAAAAAAAGAAAAGAAAGGATCAAGCACACAAAAAATATCAAGGATACACAAAGAGCATCTGAGCAAACCTACTGCCAGTGTAAAAATGTAAGTCTAACAGACACATACAAGTACCAAACAGGTACAGAAAACACATTCTTTTCAAAGCATATACAAAAACCAAAAACCAAAAACTGACCAAATCAAGCAAGTCTCAAGCAATTTCAAAGGATTCACACATCACACAGATCATATTCTTTACAAACAAAACAGTTAAGTCAGAATAGAATAGAAAAGAATAGAATGGGAAAAACACACTAGAGAGAATAAAGCTAAAAGTTTAGTCTTTGAAAACACTGATGAAGTCTACACACCCCTGACAAGACTGAACAGGAAAAAAAAAGATGGCACAATAATTATATCAGTAATGAAGATGACAAAGGATTCTGGCATCAAAAAGACAGTATCATGATTCACTTTATGTTAATCAACTTGAAAATTTAGATAAATATACAGAGAGTCCTAGAAAAACATAATTTATCAAAAAGGTCTCAAACGGAAACAAAATACCTGAAGGGCATGAGATTACTAGACCCAGGTATCTGTAGTGGCATGTTTTAATAAATATCAACAGAAGAATAAAATACAATCTTTGAAAAAAAAAAAGAGTTCAAAATAGAGGAAACATGTCCCCAAATTCATTTTATAAAGCTAATGTAACCTGAAAACCTCATAAGAGAATGAGAACAGAAAATCACAGACAGTATCTATCACTCATAAGTATCTACAAAAAAGGCCCCAACAAAATGAATTCAGTAATTGATAAAAAGAGAAATATAAAATGATCAAGTTATGCTACCCCAGGAATACAAGATTGGTTTACAAATAGAAAATTAATTAATGAAATTCATTATAAATAACATTACAGTGAGAAATTATACAATCAATCATCGCAGAAAAACTGTTTAATTAAATGCAACATCCGCTTACAGTTTAAAAAACAAAGCAATGCAAAGAAGGGAATGTACTTAAACCTGATGAAGATATCCATTTAAAAAAAAAAAAAAACCCACAATGAACATTAAACTTAACAGTGATGCATGGCAAAGATTAATTTTCAGTTTCAGAAGAAGAGAACGGTGCCTGCTATCACCATTTCTAAACAATATTGTTCTGGAAGGCTTAGCCAACAAGCCACAAAAAAACTGCCATTCTTCATATAAGATGTGAATGTCTACACAGAAGATACAAAAGAATCTACAGATACATTATGAGGACTAACAAAAGACATTAGGAAGGTGGCTGGTTCAAGGATGAATATTAAACACTCTACATATTTCCATACTACCAATAAACAACTGGAAAAGGTAATAAAACATGTTACTTAGAGTAGCATTCAAACTATAAAGAATTTAGGGGGGAATATGGGCAAGAGACCTCAATAAGCACTTCCACACAAAACACAAATATCAAATAAATATACAAAAAGAGGCTAAAACTCCTAAGTGAGGAAATGCTAACTAAAACCAAAATGAAATACTATTTTCTACCTATCAGACCAGCAAAAATTAGGAAGCCTGACACTATTAGGTATTGATAAGGCAGTATGGACATCTGCACAATTATGTACTGAATGGCAGAAGTGATTTGGCATTTTATTGTCAAGTTGCAGAAGTGCATGCCTTAGGAGCCAGAAGTTCAATGTTTAGGTATAAAATTTAGAGAACCTCTTGCATTTGTGTCCCCAGAAGACATACACTACAATATTTTATAACTGTTTATAACAGTAAACAATTAGAAACAATCCTGATGTCCACTGGATTAGAAAAATTGATAAATAAAATTATGGTATATTCAGCAATGAAAATAATTATAGCTATAAGCAACAACTTGGATAAACCTCAGGAATATTATTTTGAGGGAAAAAAACCAACTTGCAGAAGAATACATAATTACTTCACTTACGTTATAAACATGCAAAACTAAACAATAAGCTATTTAGGAATATAAATATATATGGTAAAATATAAAAGCAATTAATAATCAACACAAATGTATGAGCAAAGGTACTTTGATGGCCTAGGAAAGAATATGGGATTAGGGAGAGGCACCCAAGGCGCTTTAAATAATGGAATTTTATTTTAACCAGATGGTGGGCACCAGGATGATTTTTATCTTGAAACATTTCTATTCATTTGTGTCTATTCAATATTCAATAATAAACTATGTTTTCTTTAGAAAAAAAATTACTTAATTTAGAAGAACTTTGTACTAAGAAACAAGAAGACTGCATTTTAGGCTAACAAAGGCAATTAAAATGAAAAGTGTGGCGGGACAAATAGTTTTTGGAGCCTAGTAACTAAGCTGGAATAGTGAGGAAAACAAAGGCATACTTACATGCTTCTAGAAGAACACAGACATTAAGGGTACATGGGTTTTTAAGGAAATGGTACAGAATATGGACCAAAAGGTTTTAAATATTTAATAAATTTGTGACATTTGGTTCTTGAGTTTGCTCTCTCCCCAAATGTTGCCATGCTTTTTATATTACTGAAGCAAAAGCTTAACCACATCTATTTATCTACCAATGTCTTATGTTGAAGCCACATTATAAATGTGTAAGCCAGAGTTAGAATTACCTGTACTCTTTACTACACATATTAATACAATTTATTACCAGCTATATGAAATAGTTGTATTTTATGAAGATAAATATAGCCAGAATATAAAAACCTTGCTAAAGTTAAATCAATCTATCTTTAAAATCTTACGTTGTACAGCACCTGTCTCTGAAAAAATAGGATATAATTTACCAGTTTTGCACCAACTAAAAATGGAAATAATCAAGTAGATTATCATTGTAAGTATTTTACTAGAAACTTACTTCTTCCACCTGCCCATCTTCAGCTCCATCTTTCTCTTTGTCTTCCTCCTCATCATCATCATAGTCTTCTTCTTCATCTTCATCTTCTTCAGACGATGTATCCCCAGTTCCATCAACTTGTAAGACCAATGGAGCTTGTGTTTGAGCAGGCTGGGCCTGCGGTTGCTGCTGGCCAGTTGCAGTTATCTGTGCTTGGGCTGGTGTAGGTGCTGCCACTGTCGTAGGTATAACTTGAGTCTTATTTCCTGTAAATAAGATTTGCTGAGGCTGGATGATGACTCCTGTCTGTGGTGAAATCCCTCCAGGAAGAGGAGCCAGTACCTAAAGAAAAGAAAACCACATAACAGTAACTAGTTAAGAGGATCAAGTACGGTACACAGAAATAGGAACAAATGCTGAAGAATCACCAGAATGGCCATATTTCACACACAGTTAAAACTACTAAAGTACAAAAGCAATGTTTAACTAGTGTAGTGACCCACTAAATTTCCACTTTATCAAATTTCTGGAAAATAAGGATTTTCTAAAGATAACTGCTTCATTCACTGAGCACATACTATGTATATGCCAGATACCAGGCCAAGAGTTATACACTGCCTTCACATGAAGAACACTGGACTGAGAATCTGAAAACCTGGGTCTACCTTTTTTTTTTGGAGATGGAGTCTTGCTCTGTCTCCCAAGCTGGACTGCAATGGTGCAATCTCAGCTCACTGCAACCCCTGCCTCCTGGGTTCAAGCGATTCTCCTGTCTCAGCCTCCTGAGTAGCTGGGACTACAGGTACATGCCACCATGCCCAGCTAATTACGTATTTTTAATAGAGAAGGGGTTTTACCACGTTGGTCAGGCTGGTCTCAAACTCGTGACCTCGTGATCCGCCCGCCTCCCAAAGTACTGGGATTACAGGCATAAGCCACCGTGCCTGGCCAACCTGGGTCTACTTTTGTCTAAAGTCAGACATAAATACAGTAGAAGCAAGTCATTTAACTTCTCTTGGCCTCTGCCATTTCACTGTCAGACTAGGATTAATGGTTCTCAACCCTGGCTGCAAATAAGAACCACCTGGCAGCTTAAAAAGTACTGATACCTTGGTCATACCACTAATATTCTGATTCAGTGTGAGATAAACGCTAATTATTTTTCTAAAAACCACCAGATCAGATTTCTAAAGTTCCTTTCCAGGTTCTGCATCTAAGATTCTAAAGTAAGCCACAGCTTGAAAAAATATACACTAACAAATATTAACTATACATACTATACGTATTACAATAAAAGAGGAGGACTGGATGTTTGATGTTTGTTACTTGCCATTAGGTTCAAGGAATGCAAAAACAAGACACAGAATTTCCTTTAAAACGCTTACACATGGTGTAACAGCACAAAAGACAAAAAAAAAAAGGTAAAATAGACACAGCACTAACAACTCAAACAGAGACAAGACGTAGTACAAATATGACATAGTGTTATGGGAACACAAGAGAGTGTACCAAATTCAACTTGGGGGACAAAGCATGATCAAATATTACTTATATTATTAGTAAATAATATTTGAGTTTCTGTTTGTGCTTAAAAGCAGCGATCCCCAACCCCTGTTAGAAACCGGGCTGCATAGCAGGAGGTGAGTGGTGGATGAGCCAGCATTACCATCTGAACTCTGCCACCTGTCAGATCAGCGGCAGCATGGGATTCTCATAGGAGCAGGAACCCTACTGTGAACTGCACATGCAAGGATGGAGGTTGTGCACTCCTTACACCTGATGGTCTGAATTAAAATTTCATCCTGAACCCATCCCCGCTGCCCAGTACGTGGAAAAGCTGCCTTCCGCAAAACCAGTCCCTGGTGTCAAAAAGCTGGAGGACCGCTGCTTTAAGGAGATTAGCCAGGTTTTTCTATCTGTTTAGGGGAAGTGCAGGGAGTTGCCAGACGGCATTCTTAAGAGACGCGTAACATCAAGTGAAACCCAGAAGTGAAAGCAGTACATAATTTTGGAAAGATGTAAATAAACTGGATTAATATTACTGATCTGATCTTGTCTCTATCATCATACTATTTTACTGACATTTAAAAAAGAGACAGACACATAAACAAATAAAGTACATAAGTTCCTCAAGAAAATAACCATTCCTCTTTCATTTTAGTGCTCACAGCACAAGAATATAACACAAGTAGATCCAAGTGTTTATTTTGATGTAAATGCAGCTAAAGAAAATACCTGGGAGTATGGCAAGAAATAAACCTGGAGACTTCAAAGAAACAAGATCCACAAAAAGATCTTATAAACCATGTTGAGCTGTTTAGGCTTTTCTCAGTAGGCAATGAAAAGTTGTTAAAAGGTTTTAAGATTTTTAGAAAGGCAGGCCAGGCGCAGTGGCACATGCCCATAATCCCAGCACTTTGGGAGGCCAAAGCGGGCAGATCACCTGAAGTCAGGAGTTCAAGGCCAGCCTAGCCAACATGGCGAAAGTCCGTCTCTATTAAAAACACAAAATTTAGCTGGGCGCAATAGTGCGTGCCTATAATCCCAGCTACTCAGGAGGCTAAGCAGGAGAATCGCTTGAACCCAGGAGGCGGAAGTTGCAGTGAGCTGAGATTGTGCCATTGCACTCCAGCTTACGCGACAGAGCAAGACTGTCTCAAAAAAAAAAAAAAGATGGCTATAAATCAGCCAGGTTAGGAGGGCATAAGATGAGAGGCAGAGAAACCATTAAGGAGACAATACAGCATTTACTGACAAATTATGGACACTATGAACTAAGGAAATGAAAAGAGAGGCTGAGAAAAAAAAAACAGTGTCAAACATATTAAGGGACTGCAACCATGGCAAAAACTGCAGTTAAAGAAAAAAAAAGGCCGCATACAGTGGCTCACGCCTGTAATTCCAGCACTTTGGGAGGCCAAGGCGGGTAGATCACAAGGTCAGGAGATCGAGACCATCCTGGCTAACATGGTGAAACTCCGTCTCTACTAAAAATACAAAAAATTAGCCGGGCGTGGTGGTGGGCACCTGTAGTCCCAGCTACTCAGGAGGCTGAGGCAGGAGAATGGCATGAACCCAGGAGGCAGATGTTGCGGTGAGCCAAGATTGCGCCACTGCGCTCCAGCCTAGGTGAAAGAGCAAGACTACATCTCAAAAAAAAGAAAAAAGAAAAGAAAAACTATTAACAAGAATTGGTAGGGCTTGATACCTTGGATATTAGAGGTAAGGAAAAGGGAGGATTCTACACACCCAGTTCCAGAAAACAGAGTAAGCATCATAAAACTAGAGTCATGTCTGCCTCATTCACTCCTAAATCTCATGACCCTTATAAATAGCCCAAGACTCAGTAACTGCTTATTGAATAAAGGCTGAATGAACAGCTTAGAAGGCTGGAAGGAGAGTGCTGCCACCTTTGAGGGGATGATGAAGGATGGGCACAGACAACAGTAATTTTTTAATACATGTTTAATACATGTTGAATCTAAGTTAAGCTGTATATAGGAGAAATTAGAAACAACTGGGTCTATAGCATTGAAGAAGAGTCTTTTGTGCATATAAGAAGAGGGAAAGTACCCAGGGAATACATACAGAAGAAAACAGAACCCCATACTGATCATAATAGAAGATTATTTTACCTGCTGTATAACAGGAGCTTGTACTCCACCAGGCTGCATCTGTGGTATAACCTGTTGTTGTAGAACCACTGACTGCTGAGGCTGAAAGATATATTGGGCACCATTGGCTGCTCTGACCACCTGAAGAAGCTGGCCTAAAGCAAAAAGCATGCATTCCAAGTTATCATTTTAGCAGTGACCATCTCAAAAGAAATGAATTCATATTTACTTTCATACCACCAAAGGCACAAGAAATTATCAAGAAAACTGACAATTTTATTAAAGACTATCATTCATACATAGTATGCATAATCCTCCCCTTCTCTGACTCCTCGCCACGCTCAAATACATTCCTTAAAATGTTTTATTTTTTATATTTACATCCTCATTCAGCTATTTCCAACAAGGTTTTAACAACAGATTCTGAGACTTGACTAAAGCTTACATTATCTTTGCTAACCTTAGGAGTCAAGAAAGAGCAATAAGATCAGACACTTTAGGAGCTGTTCATTTTTAAAGCTTTAAAGGAACAAAAGCTTAATAGCTCATTTAATATCTTGAACCAAAGTACCACAGAACTTTGCTTCAAAATTGGTAAAAGCAATAAAAGTTCGCTGACCAGTTATCGTCATACAATTCACACAGAATCAAATTCCCTCAATATGTTCCTTTAGATGACGCAGAATCTTGAATTGATTAAAAAGCAAATTACATCTTATTATAAACATGTAGCAAGATAAGCCCCTAATTTCACAAATTTACAATAACAAAAATAACATACATACATAGAATAGAAAATAAATAATAACTATATAATCAAGATTACAGGAGACACTTAAAATCCATGTAAATAAATTTTTCAAGTACTAATATGCCAAAACACATGAGCTAGACATTGGTCTTTTGTCAATGAAGAGATACTATGTATAATAATAGCATACTATAAATTTGCTCTTAATATGCTCTAGGAATTACTTTCATATCACAAGTTCAAATAAGTTTAATACTCACTTGGCATGGTAAATGTGTTTAATAAAAAACTAAGTAAGCATTTTTATATAATCATACTTCAATAAGAGGGTTATCATGCACAGATCAAAGGTTCAAGTACAATTTGCATCTTCTTTACTGTATCCTCAACAATGATTACAGTTGTATGTGTTACAGCCCTCAAATAAAGTTATTTTAATAACCTAAACCAAATGGTAAAAGAAATATTAGTATTTTCCGTCTTTCAAAGAAGACAAAACCTAAGGGCTAGATAGTACAATTTTCTGAATTACATTTTTAAATGGTTCCATCATTCCTAATTACCTGAATTTGTTAATATCTGCTGAACAGGAGTCACACCTGCAGGGAGTGCTAAGGTAGCAGCCGTAGCAGCAGCACTCTGAAAAAAACAAAGAAAAAATATCAAAACCACATACATATATAACACTATCTGTTTATCTCTAGCATATTTTAATAGTATATGAAACTTTTTGTTTAGAATATATCAAAATTTTAAGAATCAAGTAAGGCTAAATCCCATTTTATAAAATGGTACAAGAAAGATCAACCTAGCCTAAACAACCTACTAAATTATTTTAAGTCGTTAAATACAACAATATCATTGGGTTTTTTCCCCTAGAGAAGGTGTTCTAAGTAAATCTCACAGGTGCTGTAGCTCTTTTTTTCCTTCTCGTCCCATCAATCTTCTTTAAGGTACCAAGCCTTCCTATACTTGATCTAACCTATACACTTTTAGACAATACCACATTAACAATGCTGTACAACATATGAAATAGCTATTTCATTACTGCTTCCTTTCCCACTGTTTCCTTATCCCCATTTCCTTGAGGTAGAAGTATAACTGTCTACTTTTTAGAATTCTTAACTTTTAAAATTTCTACTAAATCAACAGATATCTATAAAGAACACTATATCAGAAGACTTCACTGGGAGTATAGCTGACAATTCTTCTAAGATGTCATATTAGCAAAGAAAAAAAGGGACATATTGGCATTATATTCTAGGTGGAACATGTATTAAGAACAGATTAATACAAAAATTCTGTAATTCTTAAGAAAAGCCACACCAGGCACAGTGGCTCACACTTGTAATCCCAGGACTTTAGGATGCCCAGGCAGGCAGATCGCTTGAGCTCAGGAGTTTGAGACCAGCTGGGGCAATATGGTGAAACCCCATCTCTACAAAAAATACAAAAATTAACTGAGCGTGGTGGTGCACACCTGTAGTCCCAGCTACTTGGGAGGCTAAGGTGGGAGGATGGCTTGAACCTGGAAGGTGAGGTTGCAGTAAGCTGAGATTGCGCCATTGCACTCCAGCCTGGGTGACAGTCGCAAACTTTAATTTCAACATTTTGAAATGAAGTTAGTATGTGACACTTAAGTTATAAAGATATACATGGGATTATATTATGAATTTCTTAAAATCCAGGACAAATTCTTGACTTCCTGGAGAGTTCCGGAGAGTTTTCTCCTCCTGTCCTCCCACAAAGAATTATGCCATTCTCTCGTTTTCTATTCTGTACTTTAAGTATTTTCCTGTATCCCACTAGAGCTACACATTGTGGTAGTTTTTTCCCTCTCTTTTCAATCTTCTTTGGGTACCAACCATTCATATATTCAATCTAACCTATACATTTTTAGAACTACCCATATCTAGAAAAGCTTAAAAAAGTAACTGCTTTGGAAATGCTAGTGTCAGAGAAGTCAACAAACTTGGAAAATTATTAAACCAAGTTAACAATTCAACTACTGTCTAGTCTGGGCTCTAGGTATATAGCTTTCCAAGAAAATAAACTTGTTGCCACTTGACAAACCTAAGTAATTTCTACAACTTGGGCCTGAAATGCCCACTATGTCTCCAGAATTTAACGATAGCCCACCAGGTTGATCCGTGTTTAAGTTGAATACTCAATTATCCAATTTAAGATAAATCTTGTCTATATAAGCAAATTAAAGGTTATCTAAGTTTAAGGGAAATATTAACCACCACATACTACTAAGAAATATTTAAAAACAAAAAAACAACAAAAATATTATTTAGAAATATCAAGGGCCTATAATTCGTATTTTGAAAGATAACAATTCTTCCTCTACCAGCAAACCGACATAATAGTTTCTATACAGAATACATGACCCAGTAACTACCTGCACACCCCCGCCTAAATTCAAGCTGCATAACAGGTATTTGCTGAGTCACATACCATACACAAACCACCTTGTACTTAGTAACTATTAAAATTTCTTCTTGTATTCCACAAAACAGCCCAAACACAAATAATGCATTAGACCAATCATTTCATAAAAATGAACTGAAAACAATGGTTTAATAGAAGTTCCCTGAAATAGCCTTCCACTATTATTATCTCACATTTTTATGATTAGTTCATTTCTAAAGCAAACAGAGCCATTAGAAAGAACAAATGTATTTCTGCTGAATATTTCTGAATCAGAAATAATAATGCAAACCCACAAAAACCTAAAACACTTTCATTGGTACAAAGCTTATACTGATTATGTTCAGAAACACATGAAGGAAACACTGACTAAAAACAATAGAGTAAAATGTAAAATATACAGAAATGTTAAATCAATTTTTCCTGAATAACTGACCTATAATTTGTTTAAATACATCTGCTCTTTAGAATAAAGGAGATTTAACCAGTAGTAGAGATGGACCACTAATTTTTATCCCAGAAATAATTTATTAATTCAAAATTATCTTCCACAACATTTAAAAATCTTTTAAATGTTAAAGGAGATTCTGCCAAAATTTGTTTTAAAATAATGCGAGTTATTCCCTAGGATATAGTCTTAATAACATCAACTGCAATATGCAACATATAGTGAGACTTTTTTTTTTTTTAAGGGTGGAGGTTAAAAAAAATTGGGGCCTGAGACTTAAAATGGAGTTTTTTCCAATAAAAAATCTTGTGAGAAATAACGGGCATGAAATTTATTCTCATGTAAACGAAATGATTCTAGTAACTATAACTACAAGTACAAACAGAGATCCTTGATATTTGTGAATTTAAAAACTGCAATTTCTACTATCATGTAGAAACTTTCAATTCTGCCACAGTATGAATTTGTGAGGCTGGTAATGTGTAGGAGGAAGTCATTTGCCTAGTGGTAAGCCCTTCTCATCTGGCTTTTACCACAAATGAGCTTTGTGATTCACTATCACTCGCAAAGTAGAACTGATCTTTTCATATACTGCTTTTTTAAAAAAAACTTGAGGCTGGGTGTGATGGCTCACACCTGTAATCCTAACACTTTGGGAGGCCGAGGTGGGCGGATCACTTGAGGTCAGGAGTTGGAGACCAGCCTGGCCAAAATGGTGAAACCCTATCTCTACTGAAAGTACAAAAAAATTAGCCAGGTTGGTGGCATACACCTGTACTCTCAGCTACTCAGGAGGCTGAGGTAGGAGGATCACTTGAACCTAGGAGGCGGAGGTTGCAGTTAGCCAAGATCGCGCCACTGCACTCCAGCCTGGGTGACAGAGCGAGACTCCAACTCAAAAAAAAAAACTTGAACAGAAAAAAAAAAAAAACTCATTCCTAGTACTAACTACTTACGTAGGCTAAAAGATCTTTTTACAAATATTGATTCTTTCTCCTTTAAATAAAATTTTGGCTGAAGAATGAAATGTAAGAACTGAGTCAACACTCAATGAAATTAACGGTCTGTATATTTTAAACAGAATAAAGAAAAACCATTTATAAAGAAGTATTGAACTACTCTGACTGTATTTTAATGTTTTATCCAAAAAAAAAAAAAAAAAAGAAAACAACTTCAAGCATATAGGTAAAGATTTTCTAAGGATCTGAAGAGGTTCTTTCAAGTTCACAGTTAAACTATACTACATTTGTTGAGAAATATTGTTTGTCTGAAATGTAATTTGAAAATGAGTAAGGACTTGTAAAGTTTAGTGGATAGTCCTCAGAAATATAAAACTTCTAATGTAACTCAACTGGTTAAAATGTATTCTATGGTAATTCACACACTATAATGACTTATTAGACTATACTATGGTTAAGTCAAAGCAATATTTTTAAATGCTTGATTTTAAAAATAGTTATACTGAACTATCCAAACAGTTCATCTTCATTTTTTAAAAGTTAACAATTCTTAGCCTTCCCAACTTCTTGCAATTACCAGGTCTCCTGAAACAGAACCATACTTGGCATTATAAGTTTGGTAGGTACCCTAAAACTTTTTCGGACATAGTAGGGAATGGAGTAACTCTCACAAAGCACCATTCTTTTAGTATTCTTAAACAATTCCATAATTTTATGAACCTTAATGTCTAGGTACCAAGCTAAACTTCAGATCCAATATTCAGGAAACTAAAATAGCTGTTCTGCCTGAGTCCTCAATAAACTTCAAGTTGTTAATATATGACATATATAGGCATAATCACAATTTGAGTTAGAATTAAGTACAGCCAATCAAACTGCTACATTCTGAGTCTTACCATGTTTGATGCATTCATATGCTGTATCAACTTAGAATCTGGAACAATAACTTGTGGTGCTGTGGCTACAAAAAAACAAGTACACATGTAAACAAGGAACCATGAGGCTATTTTCTGATCACAAGAACACTTTACATACAATGATGAAAACTTTTTTCATGTTTTCCATGTTTTCAGCACTCAAATGCTTTCAATCATTTGCTCTCAGGACAGTATAAATTTATATGGCAAATAACAGCTGTGATATACCCACCCTATACTAGAAAACACAAATATTTAAGCTTTGGGAGGCCAAAGCGGGCGGATCACTTGAGGTCAGGAGTTCGAGACCAGACTGGCCAATATCATGGTGAAACCCTGTCTCTACTAAAAATACAAAAAAATTAGCTGGGTGTCAGGCTGAGGCATGAGAATCACTTGAACTCGGGAACTGGAGGTTGCAGTGAGCCGAGATCATGCCACTGCACTCCAGCATGGGTGACAAGCTCCATCTCAAAAAAAAAAAAAAAAATTTTAAGTGACAATTCCTAAGGATGCAAGGGAATTTAGGAACATGAAGCAGTGAGTTACTTAACACCTAAACATACATACATACACAGTTCTATGCATTCCTAAGTAAACTGGATATTTTCAAACATAATTTTGTCTTAACTCAAGGTTAACTGTTTTACTGATACAATGATACCACTGTTGCAATGAGTTACTAATCCAATAAAAGTAAGCTCAAAAAATTGTGACTAGTTTTTGAAACCTACATAGTCCTTTTCTTCCAATATGACAAGTTGACAGACTCATGCTACTTTCATCGGCTGTTTAAAAAATACAAAACAGCCGGATGCAGAGATGCATGCCTGTAGTCCCAGCAACTCAGAAGGCTGAGGTGGGAGGATCGCTTGAGCCCAGGAGTTTTGGGCTATAGTGCGCTATGCTGATTGGGTGTCCAACTAAGTTCGGCATCAATACGGTGGCCTCCTGAAAGCAGAGGACCACCAGGTTGCCTGAAGAGTGGTGAACGGGCCCAAGTTGGAAAAAATACAAATCAGAAATAATGGCAATGTTACTTAAGCATAAAAGGAATTAAATGTTTGATTCCGCAAATTTCAGAGAACAGACGGATAACTCCATTATCCTAATATTCTCTGAGTGAAGAAAATCAAATTTTAATTTATGATGACCTAAAATCCTAATGCCAGGTCTGAAGGCAACAGGAGGAACAGTCATCAAAAAATAATAAAAGGATAAAATTATTTGATACAAAGTATACACTAAAATTAGGTATGAAAACTACCACTAGATGTCAACAGTAAAATAACCCAAATAGACTCTTCTACTGTGTATCATTACCAATTTTAAGACACATATATATACTGTCAAATGAGGCAAATAAGTAACTAAATGATTACATTAAAATGAACTTTTCATCTACTTCTAGTGTCCTCTCCCATAAAAGCAGATGCACTGAATTAGAACGCTCAGAAAGTTTTATAACTGAATAGACGTGTGTCATGAGAGAAAATACAGATCAAGTTTCTTAGCGTTTTCTGGGCTCAGATTTTCCTCAGCTGTGAAACTGAGCCAAGGGCTATTTTACAAAGCCCTTATAAGGTGCCAATGAAACAGTATCTATAAAATGACTTGCAGAGTACAAAGCACTATGGACACAGTCTACGAATATTTGCTTTTTCTTAGCTTTAATCCAAGAAATATAGATTAAGATATGTTATATATCCACGCTTAACTTATAATAAATCTAATTCAGTCCGTTTAGGCTTACATAAATTACTATGGAACTGAATTTTCAGATTGCCAAAGTATACAAAAAACTCTAGAATTTAAGATATATTTTAAAAACTAATCTGAAACATGTCTCTGAAAGAACATGTTTCATAGAGAAAGCAAATAACTATTTTACCATATAAAATAATAAAGTCCTTAGGTAAATAAACCTTTTAGGTTTAACTGATTTTAGGAAATCCATCACTACATAGCCTTTTCAAAACTAAATAGTAATACAACTTAGGCTTTCAATTAGTAAATTACTTGTCTCCCATTACTCTACAGATACAACCTACGTTTTATACAAATTTATATACATTTACATACACCCACACCCCTCAGCCAAGAGAAAGGGGGAAAAAAGCCCAAAATCAACATAGGGGTTTTTGTTTGTTTATTTTTAGGTTCTCCATGCGCCCCTTAAAAGACAAGATCCAAGAAATGTAGAATATTTCTCTTCTTTCATGATGACAAACTTAATTCCAAGTCATAAGTAGGAAAACAAATCCAGTCTCACCTTGCTGTGATGCAGGAATAAGGACCTGCTGGGTCTGCGCTTGCTGAGGTACTGTCTGCTGAGGCTGAGCCTGCTGATGGTGGTGATGGTGGTGATGCTGCTGCTGCTGGGGTTGATGCTGCTGTTGAACTTGCAGTAGAAGCTGCTGCTCTTCTGAATGAAATCCATCTACTGCCCTGGACTGCATTAGTTTGTTTTCCCATAACTAAGGCAAAGAACATTAAAGATTTCTAAGTGAAAAATAACTCTGGACAGACGAAGACAACAGTTTTATTAATCTCTTTATAAAGTTATTTCATTTTAAAAACTGATACAGACACAGAAATACAACAAATCTATAATTCTAACCCAAGTGTAAACAATAACAAAAACAAAATTTTAAAGTATCAAACCTCATTTTTGCCACATCAGAGTACTGGAGATTTTGTTTCTTTTTCTATCTTCAATAAACTTTCTATAGTAATTCCTTAATCAGCAACTATTATTTAGCAATGAGTTTCATACAAGCTACTTCTTTAGTAATCAAAGATTATCCTTTATAATATCAAAATCATTACTAAATTATTTTTATATGGAACTTTTTCCTTATAAAAATACAAAATATAAAATTTTCTGCTTCAACATGAAAAACATAAATTCTCAAATAACATACACAATATAAATTCATTTAGCACAGTGAGAAACAGAGATAATCCCCCGAAGAAGAAAAGCCTAACTTTCCATCTGTCCAATCCTACAGAAAGAAAAAGAACCGGCGATGCCTGAAGGTCTTAGTAGTTATCGCAACACTTCTTGAAATGTCCTTCCTTCTTCCATTATGCCAATTGGCAATCCTTTTCTGCTCAGCCATTTCTATTTTCTCATTTCACCTTAGGTTCTATGATGGGAAAAACCAGAATGGACAAAAAGAAAGAAAAGAAAACATGTGCAATGATTTCATTCTTCTACCTAACACATTTCCTCTCTACCAGGTTTAGTGTTCATTCTGGAGCCTTAACCTTACAAGAAACTGGCCAAAAAGTCACAAACTATTCCCTGAAAATGCAGATAAAACTTCATTCAGTCATTCTGCACACAAGGCTCTATACATACTTTGTCTTCTCTTCTAGGATTTGCTCTTGGGATATTGCCTAATTGACCTTAAGCTTCTATCATATCCTTCAAGAACGTCCCTTTGCCATACTCACAGAGAGTTTTTTATTTTATTATTATTATTGTTGTTTAATTTAAGAATTAGAGACAAGATCTCACTATGCTGCCCGAGCTGGTCTCGAACTCCTGGGCTCAAGCAATCTGCCCGGCTTGGCCTCCCAAAGAGCTGAGATTACAGGCATGAGCCAACATGCCTGGTCATACTC